GTCAGGCGCCGAGTCGAGCAATTCGGACGACAGCGATGATGGTTGCGCCAGTGTGGAGGAGGAAGGCGCAAGTGTGTGTGGAGGTGAGACTGTGGAGGATGACTGCCGCGTGGCACTGCCGGTAACCGACGTGAATGTTATGGGCGATGGAGATCTTTCGGATATTTACGAGGCCGTCGATTCTAGTGGCAGCGACAGCAGCGACAATAGTGGCGACGATATCATCGTGAGGCGTGAGTACCACGACGACACACTTGAGGACGATGAAGACGTTGCTCTGATGGACAACGCATTTGTCGAGGCGTTAGGTGGCAAATTAACACTGGAGTCGATCGACAAGGCCGCACTCCGGAGCTTTGAGTGGAGTCCTCCTTCGTCCATCTTCGAAGCTGACAGTGGAGGGTACCCTCGCCTGTCTACGGACGTCGCCGTACCGATCAGGGAGCTACAGGACATTGCGGATTCTCCCTTGCTGCTTCTATTTTACTTCCTACCAAAATCACTGTGGGTTGCCATCACCAAGGAGACAAATCGCTACAAGAAGCAGACAGTACACGCCAGAGCTTAGCGAATCCGACAGAAGCAAAGGAAACGCACTGTACGAGCCCCCGAGACTGTTAAGCAGATTGAAAGGCGATTGCGCGTCGAGGCTGCGTACGAAACTCATGAGATACTCCACGTCATTGGGCTCTTAGTGGCAAGAATGCTGAACCCAATGACGCGTCGCTTTTCTCGGCATTGGTCAATGACCGAAGACGGTGCAATACCTGCCGGAAACTTTGGCAAGTTCATGGCTCGAAACCGCTGCACGTCAATACTTCGAGACTTCCATGTCGCGAACAACGAAGCCCCACGGATTCGAAACAAATTGTGGAAGTTACGGCCTGTTGTCGACACGTTGCAAGCTCGGTTTCGATCTGGCTGGTCACTCGGCAGTAAGTTCTCGTTTGACGAAGGCGTACTACCAGCCACGTCCAAGCGCAATACCACGTGGATGTTTATGCCCGACAAGCCCCATCGATACGGAACCAAGTTGTTTATGGCTTGCGATTCTGTGAGTGCATACTGCCACCGGTAAGTTTGTTTCGTTTAAAAATTATGTCGTAACTTACGGCTTGAATTGTAATACGATATTTTATTACGTCGTAACTTACTACTATAGATTCGAGGTGTACGTCGGAAAGCGTGAGACCGAGGATGGTGATCAGCAAGCAGTCGACGACAAGACGGGGGCTGCTGCAGTTATTCGAAACATGAAAGCCGTTCTGGGAGATCGATCACAAGGGTTTCGATTGGTAGTGATCGATCGATTTTACTCGTCTATCCCACTGGCTATTCAGCTTCTATCGATGGGTAGCTACGTGGTGGGAACGATCATGGTCAACAGACTGGGGTTCGACAAGCAAGTTATTGAGAATCGTAAAACACGTCCTCGAGCGATTGAGCGTGGTACTTTTGCGTTCTCTCGCTCCACTGCTATACCGACCATGATAGCTTGCCACTGGTGGGACCGAAAGCCGGTCCACTACCTGGCCACGGGTCCGGTCATGGCAGAGGACTCTATTCGTCGTAACGTCAAGATGGTCGGGCCGTCTTGCGTCAAATGCCCAAAGTTAGTTACTGATTACCAACGCTGGATGGGCGGAGTTGATGTACATGATCAACTTCGCCTGCAGTCCTATTCAATCCAAACGGCTTTCCGTTTCAGGAAGTATTACAAGTCACTGTTCATGGGTTTCATGGACATGGCACTCGTCAATGCGTATCTCACACACAAGGAAACATGCCGGATCAAGAGGCTGGTACCAAAAGATCGTGGAGAATGGTATACTCTACTTCACAAGCAATTGATGCAACTCAAAGCCGACGACTTCATTGAAGCTACTGCTCCTACACCTTCTCCTATGGCTCGCTCTCGCAAGCGCCGCCGACTAGACGGTCACAAACACATCCAGTTCGACGGCTGGGTCACCGTTTCAGGCACCCAAAAGCGCCGGCAACGCTCTTGCAAAGTATGCGCTCTTCTACGAGGCGATTGAAAAAAATCCTTTCAAACGACCTATTATTGTGAGGATTGCTCACACGCAGACGCAAAGTGCTTCCTCTGCCCCACGTCGCGCCATAGCTACGGAGGCGTGCGCAAAACATGCTATCAGATTTGGCACGAAGACTTTGACAGTGGGGCTTCCATCCCAGCATCGCTCGGCAAGCGAGTCGTCTTGCGACGATCAGCCAAGGCTGGTACTCGAAAACCAACTCGGCGTGAGCTGCTCTGTCAACAAGACGGCGAGGCCGACAATGAAGAGGATCAGCCAGCTCAGCAATCGGCAATCGTTTGAATGCGTTTGAACAGCACTTAGTTTATGTAAATGTAGCTCTTTCTCTGTTGTACGAGGATCTCTACGGATGTGTAAATAGGCATCTGCTTCGACAAGAACAATACTTGAACGTCGTAAGTTATTGCTTTTCGTGATACGACGTGCTCATAATGTCGTAACTCATACGACGTAGCTCAGAATATCCTCTGACAGTTTATAACGGGAATCCAGTGTGGAAAAGACACATCCATACAAATAAATATACTAAAATAAAGTCGTAACTTACGACGTAAAATAGGCGGTTCCAACACGGATCTTCTGGTAACTGAGGGGTTAAATAATACTTGAATTAGTTCGAATGTTGGCAGTTTCCAAAAATTTCTTCAAATCTGAAAATCGAAGTTTTTGAATTTAGCAGCTTGAAGGTTTCAGCGTAGACATGTATAGTAGCACGAGCGAACTGGGGCCTTAAACCGCTACGCTTAAGATTATGTGGGTTGTACTTGATTAGAGACCTTACAGGTTAAACTATGTAGTACTGTAGTGTTATAACACACCTGAGTTTATTGTGAGAACTATGTGTATGCATGTTGATAGAAAAACATACCTGGTTGTGTGCGTATGAGCGCGTCAGCTTGCCTTTGTTTGCAGTATCGCTGAGCGAGCAGCTCTAAATGGCTGCCGCAGCCTCCGCTGCCTTTTTGGCTGCAGCTTCAGCAGCTCTTTTGGCCTTGTTCACTTCGTATTGGACGAACATCCTGTAGTGGGAGTGTAGCGCGCCGAAGCCCTTTCGTTTGCTTTCGTTTTTTATTTGCGCGATTGCCGCACTGAACTCATCTGGGGTTTTCCCACTCTTGTACCACTCCGTGAATCGACGCGTCATGGGTTTCGTATTGGAGTCTTGGAGTGCGGATTGAATATCGTCCAAAATCTTCATGTCAAGCCAAGCCGTCAGCTTTTGGTTATAATGTACCGATGTTCTGGCCTTGTTAATTTGTAGGATGAGCAGCATGTTTTCAATTATCTTCCCATTTGCCGACAGCATAGAAACGATGGCCTTCGCTGTTTTTTTTTCATCTTTCGCCAACTGCGCGATTAAATCATTTTGGTTCTATAAAGCATCCACGATCTCGTCCGCGTTTTTGAGCTTTTGGAAGAAGTTCGATCCAACGTTACCCACCCGCTCTTCGCCCTTAGTGGCATCCATTACGTCCGCGTCGCCCATATCATAACTTCTTAGGAGGCGCTTTTCGGTCTTCTTCAATTGGATGCTGTGATTACCTTGGCGTCCGATTCAATCAACAAGGCACTCACAAAAACGGCCAAAACAGCGAAGTACAGACGCATAACTGGTTTCGATCGTGTCGGTCTTCGAAGCAGGCGTAAATAAATGGAGTGACTCAAAATATGCGATCATCGCTTCAGGTACTGGCTATTGTCGTGGCTAAATATAATGTACGGACTGTAGGCTCATTCTTCTACCTGCTGTCGTGAGTCACTCATGAAAATGGATCGTAAACACGATTTGAAGGGCAATTTAGAGAAAGTACCATGGACTCTAGGCTAGGTTAATGGTAACTCCAAAATCGGTGAAGTTAACATAGTGATGATATCACCTTGTATACCAGCTAATACATTAAGTATTACTTAATATTTTCTTCTGAGACATAATGACATTATTAAATATCAACTTAATATTGGCTAATACGATATGGGACTAATTGTAGCTCCAAAATCAGTTAAGGTAAACAATATTGTGATAATATCACCAAATAGACCAGTTTATATAAAAAAAACATATTAAATAAACTTTTCTTCTTTGACAAAATGATGTTGTTCAATATCAGCTTAATATTAGTTTTTACGAAATTATAGGTTTTAAAGATTGGGTAATCGGTTTTAATGCACCAATAATATGTCGCTAAAGATCGAATAGCTAAGTATTACTAATCACAGCGAGGCGTCCGGGACAATTGTGGCAACCTATTGAGACACGCGGGCCTCACACGGGCACCCATATAGCTGCGCCCGGACACCACACGTATGCTATGACATCGGTGGGTATCTGCGACCTGGCTTAAGAAGCTAGAATATCGATTTAACAACAAAAATTGTTAAGAAGTCAAACTGTAATGTAAATTACGAACAAAAATTTGGCCGTGCTGTCGCTACAGAAGCATCGGGAGGGCAACACCATCCTAAGAGTTGACTTTGTAAAAAAAAACGTTCCCATGGGGCAAATTCTGTCCGTGTGCGCGTAGCGTGTGAACGTAATAGTACCTGCGACCTTAGTGGAAGATGCGAACTTACCAGAACGGGATGTGGCATACTGTAAACACACTCAAAGCAGGGAAATGATGAGGCGGAACCACGGAAGGACACGAACACAGAAGATTGCTAAGCCAATGAAGACACGGGAGCACGGACGAACACCCAACCACGAAACCACAGGAGTCCACGTACCCATGGGAGGGCACAGAGCACGAGCAATTGATAGTAGCCAAATCATTACTAGCATGACACCAGGGTATCACGGAGACGCATGGATCCACGAAAGGGCACGAACCACTAAATCATGGGAGAACACGGAGCTCAATATCAGTATAGAACCTGAGCTCACCGCGTCATGGAGCGCGATATTACCGTAGCACATGACAGCCCGGACCACGAAATCCACGGGGCAGCCCCTCGGGAGAGCACGAGGTGACACCGCGAACCACAATAGAACCTGAAAACACGGGCGAAAGATATACACTATGAGACAACGACAGCACAATAGCACGGTAGGTGGAGCTATACCACGAGGGCACGGTATACTATAGACAAGATCACACCACGACTACTACGCGAAGGCACAGAGCCCACGGAAGAGCACCCATCGGCGAGGGTGCCGGATGGGACACCATGAGACTGCAGAATGGTAGGTGTTTTAAGTACACAAATCTACGTCATACTGGAGCCTCGACGCACAAGCCCAGCCTGAAAGCACACCACACCACGAAGTACTTAGCATTGCGGCCACCTCATTTCCAACAAATTATGCCACCCCACCGCGTAGCGGTGGCGAACAGCTAGTCTCAAGTAGTAGTGCTAGCACGGTGTCCGTCCGGCTGTCACACGAAACGCTCAGAGTTTTGAGCATTTTCAATTTGGCGGCCGAGCGGAGCGAGGGCTGCTCTCATTGGCCAAAAATATACCTGCTGCCAAGCGCAGCAAGGCGGCACCTGCTGTAACCTTGGGCTGGCCCATGGGCCCGACCCAGCCACCTTCGAGGATAAACGCGGAGATAAGTTATGATGGCGTTCGTATGTGTATAATATGGTTGTCTAAATTAACGCACCTCTTGTTATCTATTGGGTGTAGAACGTGGCAACATGAATTATTCTTCAGACCAAGCGCATGCGTGAAATGTTCTACCGCTTTCCTGAAGTGATGCTAATCGACGGGACGCATCGTACTAATTCATCCAAATACAAGATTGTTTTTCCTTTATGGTGCACGCCGCGTTTGGCACAGGCCAGTTTGTTCAGCACGCCGTTCTCCGGAACGACCGCGCCGCGACTCTGATGACGGCCATTAAGGATTTCGGGAAGAACACTCCTTCCTGGACCAAGTTGCAGTGCGTGGTGATCGACAAGGACTTTGCCGAGATGGCTGTCATGAAGGCTGCGTTTCCGGTGTGCGCATTCTCCTATGTCAGTTTCACGTGCTCAAGTACTTCCGTGATCAGCTAGATTTCTCCGAGTATGGTCTGTCGCCGTGGCAGAGAGCTCAGTTGCGGAGCGTGATTTCGTTAATGGTATATGCGACGACGGAGCGTGAATTCTCCAAGCATCGGGATTACATGCCCCATATACTCTCAATTGGCAAGAAGTCTGCGCGTCGCGAGACCAGCGAGGACAGTGGCGGCAGCTCTGCACGGCTAGCAGCTACCCCCGGTGCAGATGGTGATCAGATGGTAATTTTTTCATCTCGAACCATCTTGATGGGCCAGTTGATGATGCCGAGATGCACCCTTTTGAGGTCTAGTTTCACAAGAACTGGGACAACTGCGAAGAGATGTGAGCTGCTTCTGAACGTCAAAGAGCTGTGACGATGGGCAACAACACCAATAATTGTCTCGAGTCGTCGTGGAAGCACCTTGGAGAGCACGACGAGCCGTTTCATGGGTTTGAAGAGTGTGTGCCCTCCCTTATCTGCTAACAGGTTCGCACAGAGCGAGCATTCAATGCGAAGGCAACCAAGATGAGTGTGGTGCCCGATTCCAATTATGACAAAGCGATGCCACTATTCGAGAACCTGGTCAGCAGACACGGATGTGACCTCATCTTCGACCAGTACGCTTACGGCATGGGCTGTAAAGCACAGTACAATTTCTATGAGGCAGACGCTGGCATCATATGTTTACACAACGAAACGGAGGTTGACGAAGCACTGGACGAAGCGAGCGTGGCGTATTCGGTCAACAAGAAGAACTGGGAATGCGTCTGCTTGTTCATGTCGGCCAGGCGTCTTCTTTACAGACACGTCTTCTACAGATGGAAATGCTCGATCTCGCCGCGACCGGCTGTTTGAGCAAGGCCACCATGGCCACGTTAATGGCCAAAATTTTCGGCTCAGACCCAACGAGGATCCTGGGAAGTGCTAACTTGGTAAGCGTGACCCTAGGCACTGGCGTCGTATTGAATCGCGACAGCCTCGAAACGCGTTTCTTTGGTGCGTCCATGGAGTGCGCGATGATGACGGCTAACCGCAATGGCAACCACTGAAGCTCGATCATGGTCGACTTCACCGAGCATAAACTATTCTACTACGACCCGATGGAGTCAAGCAACAAGGTGGGGCTTCATGCTGCTACACAGGTAATCAAGTCAATGGTATCAACTTTGCAGTCGCGCGCTGACCGCGTCCTACCGTTCACAAGCACATTCGGCATCCAGACCGACAGCTACAACTGCGGTATCTATATCCTGGTCACTTTCGAGATTTTTAGCGGCGCGGACTCGCCTGGGTTCGTCGACAGAAAAAACCTCCAGCGCCTACGCTTCCGATTACTTAGTATGTGCACGTAAAAGCTGCTTTGAGAAGATTTTAATGATCATGCGAGCCTTTGTTCAATGCTGGATGGGTGTACCTGCTTGTGATTCTGACGGTCTTGCTTGTGACCCAAACGCTAATATACTCGGTAGCCATCATGACGCAAATGTGTGGCGATGTGTTAATTCTGAACTGACAGAGAGATAATCATCCTTTGATGCACGCAAGAACAGCTCAGTATATACACTTTACACACGTATACCCCCCCCCCTCCCCAACTCATTAACAGCCTGATGGGCTCAGACGGGCACCAATTGGTCGTGGATGGGTGCCATGTGGGTACGGGTGGTCACAATTTGTGACTCACAAATGAGCATGATGGCTCGTCTCTGATTCGCTTAGATGGGTGCAGTAACATGTGCCAAAACTGATTTCCATGTGAGTCGTAATTATTTTCATGTGTGCTCGACATAATCTGCGTGCACTTACACCTAACTGTGCATTTCAATGCGTTTGTCCTGGCTTGATGTTCGATTTATATTAACCAAGCTGAACGCCGCCACTTTGTGACGTAGGCGCATGAATACTACTTACTGTGTCCGTTCCTGTAACGGGTACGAACCCAAGTGTACCCCTGGTTACATGAAGAGTGACACGTCACACTTCGGGATGCCTGGTACATGGTACCAGTGTTGTCAAAGGGATGTCATAATCAGGACTATGTTCCCTGCTATTCCTTAGTGTTGATAGAGCACCGCATCTTCGTGGGCATCTGTTTAGCTAGGCTTATTTAGCTAGGGGTGTCTTCCAGATGTTAGACCTTGTCGGTTTGCAGGATGAGATTTGTGGGATCTACTTTGTTTAATGATTTTACTGATTGCACTCGATGAAATACAATGCCGGGAAGGCCATATTGGTCGTTTTCAACGCAGGAAGAGGCCGACAGAGTATATAACAAGAGTAGGCAGGTGTCTGGAAACCCGCAGGGCTCTTTAAGTGTGCATAAAAGGCCTCAAATGTCTGCTGTCTTCCGGCTAACTGGATCAGCTTAGACAGACTTGTTGTCTCGATAATCACCGGTGTTCCCACGGTTCAAGCACGAACAGAGATGCCGAAAATTCAATACTCAGATTAATACATCCAGGTTAGAGGCGCCAATTAATAATTCAATTATTCAAATTATTCCTA